CGACTCGAAAGTGGGCAAGAAACTTTCAAGATGTTAAAGCTCTTTACGATCCTCTCTCTCGTGGCCCTAGCGGCCGGTAAGTTTTTAAATATTCCACCCAATTTACCAATCTTTGATCAAATTCGTCGGTTTCAACAGAATATCAGGATCTCTAAACGTTCGTTCAACGCGAAACTATGATCGAGCCTTCGAAAGAGTATCATTTTTACAATAACTTCCACGTCTGGCGCTTCAACATTCGATAAATGCGAACAAAACAGCGAATAAATTAGACGTTTTACTACGAAACGAGCAAAATTGGCCAGATCTAATCCAAATTTAACCCAGTTAAGTTATTTACCGAGCTTCGTCGGTAATACGTTCCAACTTTTACTATTTTCTATACTCGACTGGATACGGCGCCTTTACCAGATCACCGACGAAACTTCCAAACGACGTTACAGCGATTAATCCTAACGCGAAATGATTGAGTAAACAGAGGATACGTATTTGTTTTCCAGGAAATCCGATAGCGCAGACATTCAATGAACTAGTTCAGAGAATGGATGGCCGTATCGTGGGCGGTGAAGAAACAACCATCTACGTGGCACCGTATCAAGTGAGCTTGCAAGTATCCGGCTATCATATTTGCGGGGGTAGCATAATCGCCTCGAACTGGGTGGTAACCGCTGGACATTGCGCCACGTACTCGGCCAAGTCCTACAAAATACGTACAGGCTCGACCAACGTCTACTCCGGCGGCGCGGTGCACCGGGTTGAACAAGTGATCAGGCACAAAGATTATAAGAGCAACAGCAACGGTATCCCTGTCAACGACATCGCACTATTCCGTATAGCGAAATCCGACGCGTTCAAGTTCAACGACGCCCGGAAACCGGTACCACTGTACCAGGGAAATTCCAACTCTCTCGTGAACAAAAACGCATTGATCACGGGCTGGGGAAAAACCGAGACGGAAACACCAGTGACACTTCACAAGGTTTCGGTTCCTATAATCGCGACAAAGAAATGCAGCAAAGCATACGAAGAGGTCGGTGGAGTTCCCAAGGGAGAAATTTGCGCTGGCTTGGCGGAGGGAGGCAAGGACTCGTGCCAAGGAGACTCTGGTGGCCCCCTGGTCATCAATGGCGAACTGGTCGGAATCGTCTCCTGGGGAATGGGATGCGGAACTGCTAACTATCCAGGTGTCTACACCGACGTCTCTTATTACCGTCAATGGATCAAGCAAAACAGCGGAGTCTAATTCCTGCTTTCTCTCCTACTTGAAAAAATACTCGACGAATCGATATGCGACTCGAACAACGATAACGATTCTAATTGCATTCGATTAGGTACCGCTGCGTTAAAATGTAAGAACGACGAAGCGTTAATTCCAAACGACTAACTCCGTAACATTAATATCGCGAATATTCACCGGTGTAAATATCGACTTGTTTGTACAGAAAATAAACGTTTCATTGTTATACTCATCGAAATTTCGTTTGACTTTATTTCAATCGCAGGCCACACGACCAACCTACCTTCCTCTTAGAATATTCTAAATCCACCTATTCTGCTTTAAATCTAACTTGAAGGAAAATAAATCGAATAGTCGAATGAAAATTTCCCTGGTAAAGTCAGTAAAATCATATTAATATGACAATAATATGATAAACGAGAAGATTACCATTGATCTTATGGTACCGATCAATCTTACAAATCGTAAATCACTATATTTAACAATACACCGATATTAGAGCTACGATAAAGGGTATATGTAACTTTTCATTCTTTTATTTTCAATATTCGTATGTATATGTGTATGCATATATACATGCGCGATTCATGTTTACCTGCATTTCTACATCTACTGATTATACGTATACTTGGAAGGTATATCAAATAGCTGCATATAAAGCGAAAGCTTACCACTGACAGATACTTTGATCGATTTCGTAGTAAATCCCCGCAAAAGTACAGATCACTGGACTTAAGAATTTTTAATCTTGCTTTTCTTTGAATAGCTTTTTCTTTATCGGCGTCTGATATAATACGCTTTGCATAAGATATTCATCGTGTGTGTCTCATTTTCATATAAATACACCACGAATCGTGAAAAAAAGGCATACCAAAGTCGGTACTCGAAATCAAGATGTTCGTACAACTGAATTTACTCGCACTGCTGGCCATCGCAACAGGTAACCATTTTATACTAGACATCGTTCATTTGTTCTTTAACGCGACTTATCCGTAGAATCATAAGTCGAAGATATTCGGTAAAACCTTGTATTTTGGTACAGAGTCGATTCACCTTAGAAAATCTGCCTACCTCTTGCTGTAAGTCCTTACCTATCTAGAGAATCTAATCGTTGAATATAATCGTTTCATTAGCGAATCCGCTGACAAGACCCATCGCCCTGAATCCGCTAACCCCGAGTGGACAGATAATCGGTGGAAAGGATGTAAGCATCCAAGAGGTACCTCATCAAGTGTCCCTTCAAAGTTCTGGTTTCGGCTTCTGCGGTGGTAGCATCATTTCGAGCGAGTGGGTGGTTACAGCTGCTCATTGCATGGTTTACCCAAGTGACTGGATCACAGTGCTAGCCGGAACAGCGACCAAATCCTCAGGTGGAAGCAGGCACAAGGTAGCACAAATATACGTTCACGAGAACTACGAGACGAACTGGTATGGAGTACCAACAAACGACGTTGCCGTGCTAAAAGTTGCAACCCCGTTCAAACTGGACGATACGCGTCAGCCTATCAAAATATTCAAACAAAACGAAGAATCTGTCGCTGGTATCAGCGCGGTAATCACAGGATGGGGTGCAACCAAAGAAGGCGGTAGCACCACCGATGTCCTTCAAACGGTCTCGGTGCCCATAGTCTCCAAGAGTTCCTGTGACCGTGCTTACAAATCGTACGGAGGATTGCCCGAGGGACAGATCTGCGCGGCGGTACCGGAAGGAGGAAAGGACGCTTGCCAAGGAGATTCCGGCGGACCCTTGACCATCGGTGGCCGTCTCGCCGGACTCGTATCTTGGGGTTACGGTTGTGCCAGAGCTGGATACCCTGGCGTTCACACCGAGGTTGCTGCCTTCAGCGATTGGATCACCTCCAAGACTGGAGTTAAAGCGTAAGCTTTACCGCTGATACTCCATCCGGTACTCAAGCCTATACTCCAACGGATTCTTTCTCTTCTTGTAGTCTTCTTATACGACCGCGTCTCAATTTTGTCTCTAATCAGTGTCCCGTGCCGTTTACCAAGCACGAGGTGACACGGAAAATTCAATAAAGCTAGCGTTCATTCGATACCAAGCGTCAAATCCTTTTCTCCCTTATAAAGGGAACGCAGATCTCTCATGGACACGTTGTACATCGACTCGCGTGGCAAAAGCCTGGCATTTTCCTGCGCTTCCTCTGTGCTTCTCGCCAATCCGTTTAAAGTCGAAATTAATTCTGCCTTCGCGTAGCCGACAGAGTCCCCGATTCAATCTCGGCTAAAGCACTAACCCTATTCCATGACTTCGAATCATGGAAACTACGATAAAGTGTATCTTTCGTTAACCAATTGCATCCGCGTCGTCGCGACTTGGAATTTTGAATCGCGCCAGCAGCATCCGATGCCAGACATCGCGAATAAGAATTTTGGAAGAGC